TGAGGAGGTACACCCATCTGTCGCGATTCTCGGTGCCCTGTGGATCACAGAATCAGTTGCATAAGCTCAATGCAGCCAATGATTATTTTTTTTAAAACCATTAGCATATTAAGGTCATATGAGTGCGCGCGAAACATAAAACGATTTCAGTTTGTAGGAATTAATTTCAAATTTTACCCGGGTGGCGGCCGAAGCTTACAGAACTCCCATCGATGTTAGACCACCAAGGGATCTTTAACGTGCACAACTTGCACACGGGAACCTCCGAGACTATTTCGTCTTTATCCGAAAGGGCTTGGTATTAGATCTTAAGTGTGCTAAGATCAGGGCTGAAAGACAGCAGTAAGGAGGAGTCAGTGTTGCAGTAGAAAGGCTGCTGAAAGAGTCAAGAGCTCAGAGGAGAGGGGACAAAGGGGGGGGGCTCTCGTGGCCCAGAGGTTAAGGTGTTGGCCTCTCATTCAAAGGTCCCAGGTTCGAATCCCGGTAGCGACCGAAAAATTATCCTCTCATTCAATTGACTCCTTTCACCCCCTTTCCTGCTCTCCAGCAATGTTCTGTTGTCTGCTTTCATTTCCATTTTCTTCCCCCACCCCCTCACTTCCTTTGCCCCCTCCTCTGGGTTACCGACTCTTTCTGCAGCCTTTCTACTGCTACTCCTTGGCTCCTTCTTACTGCTGTCTTTCTGCTACACCCCTGATCTTCTGGTAGGAAAGATCTACACCTAGCCTTCTCGAAAAATCTCGTGCAAGTTGCGAACGTTAAAGATCCCTTGGTGGTCTAAAATCGATAAGAGTAGGCTTCGGCCGCCACCCCGGCAAAATTCAAAATTTCCTTCCAACTGAAAATATTAGGTGTGTCCCGCGCGCTCATATGACCTTATGCAGTTGCGAGCGCCGTAAAACACTTTACAAAAACAAACAAATCATGTCCAGATGATGCGCTTTCCGATCTCTAATATGCCTACAATTGGTGTCATACTTTATTGGAATGCAAATGACCTTGGTTTATTTCCCCAAAGAGGCCTTTTAATAACTTTGTTTATCGCGGGGCGGGGCGTGTGGTGGGATGGGGTGTTGTTGGATTGGGTGGGGGTGGGGTTGGGGT